TCTAAGCTTTCTTTGATTGTTAATGTGTTTTTTTCTTGTTTTGCCGTTTTTCGTCAAGACGTCTGAACAGAATCGTTGAACAGAATGATCTGAAATTTTCTATAATGATAGACCTGATGTGACTTGGTTTACCCGACTTTCAGAATTTGGTTGATTATCTTAATCGACGGATTTACTCTCATTTTGAGCCCTTTCTAGAAGATAAGGTAATATGATTTATTTGGTAGTCACGTGATTTCATCGCCATTTTTAATTTTCGACCAAAAAAGAGCAAAAGTTTAGACATTTGTTTCTCATTAATGCTTCAAACGATTAACTTGAAATTTTGCATGTATCATGTATGGCTAAAACTTATTATGAGAAAAAAATATTATCAGTCACATGGTTTGGCCGCCAATTTTGGGACGTTTATGACACATGGATGCTGTAAGCAATCATCTGGATATTTTGCCTGTAGCACGTATGACCAAAACATAACACATATATAAGTCTGTTCATAATAGGCATATTTTACTTTCAAACTTGGACCCAGTAAAGCCGCTCTGCAGCTTAAATTTAATTCGAAGTACTAGGCGAGGTCAACAAAATTTACACATCAACACAGCTTTCTCTAATTCCCACCATCTGTTGACACGAAGTTTGCAGCGGGAATTGTGGCCAGTAACAACATGTAGTGTCTCTAACTATTGTAAGAAATCAACAGCGGCAACACGGTCGATAATTGGCTAACCGCTATCAATCACTTTGCCGGTGTATAATGTTCTGTTTTTTTTATTTTCATTTTTATTTACGAGAGTAAGACTAGAATATGGTTAAAATGAATATTTTAATACCCTGCAAAAAATTGAAGAAATCAAGACACCATTGCACACAGTCCGCTTTAAGTATAAATAATTTGATACGAATTGCTATAAATATTCGATATATTGTTATTTATTCATTGTCATGGCCAGGGAAATCTCAGCTGAACAACCCTTTGTAATTGTAGAAATCTCGAATGGGTGTAATCCCTGAATCCTTTCCCCGAGAAATACAGATCACAATGCCGCTTTATATACATAAGCTGATTTCACCAACGTCCATTGAGGGTCTCCATACTTATGATTGATTAGAGTAAATTAATTAATTATTATAAGATTAGTATTATGTAGTACTTTATTTACTATATGATACGGACCATAATCACACATTTACACACTTACAAAGCTCGTGTTGAACCCATGTCCTACTACAGACACAGTGTAGATGATAAGGTCGTTTTCGAACATTCGATTTATCAATAATAGCAACAATAAACTGGGACGTTTATTTTTTTAAATATCGTTGCATAGTTGATTTAGACACAAGTCATAAATAATATTTGTCAGAATTTTCCAATAACGAAAGACATGACGTATCCTATTTACCATAAGAACCAAACAGTCCCCAAATCGCCATTTTCGTGGGTTTGGCACATTTTCTGTAAGAAAAGTAGTTCGAAAAATATTCTGTAATTTACTTTAGCAGTAGTAATTTATTTATGTGCCTACTGTTTTTTTACCATGGTGAAGTGTATTTGCTTGATTTAGAAAAAAAAACAAGATCTAAACTGGTGAATTCACCTCACCAATCACGGGTGACTAACTATCTAAGATACACCAAGACTATTAGTGCCATTGCAAAGATTTATACTCGCTACATCTATATGTAATAATAATAATAACTTTATTGAAATCGTATCCACAATGGGGTATTGATAAATACAATAAAAGTAATGTATATAAAAATAATGACAAAATAAAATTACAAATATAACTAAAACTACTAAAATACATAACAGTTAGAGAAAAGAAGATAATTTATAAAAAAACATGTATAGTAAAAAAAGAAAATAGTGTTTCTTTGTTATGAGGCAGCTGGTATTTTTTTTAAACTGTCTTCCCTCATAATAAAGCACTGGTAAATAAATTTGCTTAACTCTTTTAATATTTGTTTATCTTTTAGTTTTAGTATGTTTATAAAATTTTCATAGTCAGAGTAATTGTCTTGGAGTATGTTGTGTTTGTTGAAGAGGTCATCTCTCTCTTTTTTGTAGTAATTGCATTGTATAAGGAAGTGTGTTTCATTTTCGATCTGACCATTGTTGCATATTAAGCATGTTCTTTTGTTCAGATCAATATTTTTGTGTCTTCCTATTTCTATTTGCAGTGTATGTGCACTGATTCTTAGCTTGGTCATCGCCGACCTGTGTTTTGGATTAATAGTTTCCAGATAATTTTCAAAGGTGAAATCTTGTTTTATTTTTCTATAGGTTCGTAGTTTATTTTTGTGGTTTCCGCCTTTGTTATCATCATGTAGTGATTCCTTGACATTTTATGTATGTGACATATGTTTTAGGTGATCTCGACTGTCAAGCACAATAATCTTTGTTTAGGTGATGTCGACTGCCAAGTACTCATCTCTGTTTTAGGTGATGTCGACTGCCAAGTACTCATCTCTGTTTTAGGTGATGTCGACTGCCAAGTACTAATCTCCGTTTTAGGTGATGTCGACTGTCAAGTACTAATCTCCGTTTTAGGTGATGTCGATTGTCAAGTACTAATCTCCGTTTTAGGTGATGTCAACTGCCAAGTACTCATCTCCGTTTTCTCGTTATTCGTTTGACCTTGTTCTAATGCATCGACATGTGGACGTCATTATTACACCTAATAATCCTGTCATTTCTAACATTTATGGGGATCGGTTTAGATCATTAATGAAACTTTAATACCGAGTACCGAACCGTGCGATACACTCGAATTGATGTACTCAAAATTGCATTCTTACACCGAGGTTTTGAAATTGTTAGGTAATGTACTCCAAATTAACTTGCTTAAATTTTTCCAGTTTGGTATATGTTCCAAATTACTGACGGGTCGCAGGCAGATATTTCTGAATCACGCACTTCGGAACACTATTCAAGATCGAATAAATAATTAAAAGGGAAGCTGTAACAATCACAACTATTCAAAAACGTTGAGATTTGAACGTTTAGAATAGTCTAAATACTCCAATAAAGGTCCAAGAATTTCGGTTGAATATTCTCACATTCGATATATTATTATTAGACTCAGATGTGTGCTGAAATGTTATGTAATGTTACCAGACTGAGATATGTCTAAACCTCTGGCTTGGTACGCAATCACAGACATGATTGCTATACAAGTTATATCAACTTTGTACGCCGCGGGCGTATATCATTCACGCGATTGCGCACTAGGACGTGACACGGTATATCCCATGGTGAGGCGTATAAATAGTTTTGGGGAGTTACGGATTTGTCAGGAAT